TAGTGATGGATGGAATAATTTTAAAGCCAGATAGATGGATCAATTGAAAGATGCATCACAACAATCAAGTGGCGTAACATCTCATGCCATGAGCGGCACGTCAAGTGATTTAAGATTTTTAACCAAAAGTTATTTTTTTGCAATTAATCACACTAAATTAAAACATTAAATCGACAATCCTAATTAAAACACATTTGAACTGTTTGTGAGTTTTTCGTTTCTCTTAGTTGACAGTCACTGGATTTGACTATGACTTTTAATTCTGGACCACATATTTTCAGATTTTCAACATGATTTTTCTGCCAATTCTTCTTTGGGATTCTGAATAGATATTCAATTTCCATGTGACTTTGGTGTTTGTCAAAACACAGTATGTAATTTTACTGGAAAGTGACAAAAAAAACTCCACCAAATGCAATTTCTGTGTTTTCCTTTGCCATTTTTACAACATGTAATTTAAATTCAGCTTGATAGATCTTTCTAGCTTCAGCTAGGGTTGAGTTTGACGATGAGTAGACTATCATATAGAAACTGTCTAGTTAGAAATGTTAAGGCCTGTTCACACCAAAAGCAATATTTGGAATAAAAATGCAAATCCATTCTCTGACAGTAGGCGGTGCTTATGGAACAACAGAAATGCAGTGGTAGACAAAGCTGTGCAACTTTACATTTCTGACACCAACAAAGAAAGTTGAATAGTATTAGCCTATTTTTTAAACAGCTGTTTAGATTTTTGCATTTGCTATTGTGTTTATCAAACATGGTTCCAGATTCTTCTTCTGCTTTTTACTTTTCTTTAGCAAAACAGTCTCTTTGTGAGCACCACCAAGCGACTACTGGCGTGTCCCTATAAGCGTGAGTCTCATTGGTTGGCTAGTTTTCTTCACAGAGAAATGTAAAAAGAGATTAGTACGCCTCTCCATAAATAATTATGTCGCACTTACAGCATGCAAATATTTTTTTGGTCTGAACAGCAGTGTTTCCCACAGACTTGCACCGAGCCATACAAATTAATCAATGTATGGGAAACACTGAACAGACACAAATTGTCCATTCAAATGAAGATGTTTGTCGCACCACATTTTGGCAACAAATATTCGTCTTGATGTGAACAGGCCTTTAGAGCTGGACAGTTTTTGTGCAACGAATTGTGCTACATAAGGCA